TTTGCGCCACCGTTGCTTTTTTGATTAACAGTTGATATTCACCCTTGGCCTCGTCTATCGACGTATTTTCAGATTTGATGACCTCTTCTTTGAAGAACCATTGTGCAGAAGGTCGTGGTGATCCTTTTGCAACCACTTTCAGTGTGACATCTTGTCCACTCACAATTTCTTGCTGTTTGGGCAACTGTGTGATGATTATTGGTACAGTAAGAACAGTGAGTTGAACAGTTTCTTCTTCATTACCATAAGGATTCTGAAGCCGACAAGTAATCGAACCTGCATGTTGTTCTTGATCGACGTTCCGAATGAACAACTTCTCTTCGCCAGTCGGAACATAGAGTTGCACCTGAATGCCTTCTTTCGCTATCAGCTGTTTGCCATTGAGAAGCCATGTGATAGTCGGTGTTGGATATCCATCGATTTGTGTCTTGAACAAGACTGTCTCACCTTGTTTTACTTTTTGTGTCGTCGGCTTGACAATAAACATAGGTGATTCTATAACAGCATATGTATTCAAGAACAAGAATAGTCAAGGCGACTTACTCGAAATAATAACTTTGCACTTATTGGATTGAAGTGATCCAACAACATTGGAAATCATGGCTGAATATTGTCCTTCATCTTCTGGTTGTACATTTAAGATGGTCAGTATGTATTTGTCATCGTCATCAGTCGATGTCGTCATTTGAATACGATCATTGGGTACGATTTCATTGTTAACTCTCATCCAGACAATATGAGGTTTCGGAGCTCCACTGGCGACGACTTCTAGTGTCAAGGCTTCACCTTTTGTGACTTTCAGTGCAGTATTGAGATTAGCCTTGATGAAAGGTTTGATGCAATAAATCTTTAATGTTGTTTGAGCTTCAGCTTCACCAACAGCATTGATTGCTCGAGCAATATAAACACCTTGATCGGCAAGCTCAACTTGACGAATCGATAGTGTCGATGTTCCATCATAAGTCTCAGTCACTTGAAAATGATCATTGGTTAGAAGTGGTTGACCATTGAAGAACCATGTCACTTGTGGTTTCTCGATACCACTGAACTTCCATGAAATCTGAGTATCTTTACCGATGACACATGATTGTTCATTTGCTGATTTTGGAGCTTCCACTTTGGGTTGAACTAAGAAATAAGTAATCGTTCGTATTGGAGATGGGAGATGATGAGACTACTTGGAGCATGAGCGTATGTGAATAGAAGACCCACATCAATACGCTGCCACTCACACTCCACACTTTTTTCTATGTGTTTAGCTTAATCAGTTAAGTTGAAGGTTCAGTTTAAAAAGCATTTTGTTCTCTAAGTACGAATTTATCAATCAGTTTTCGTTCAACCATTTGTCGTGGAGCTCAGTAAGTACACCTTTTCAAATCTAGTACATTTCTCGCTCTCTTAATAAAGATAAGATGCACTCCTTCCGTTTGGTGAATATGCATATACGTAATTGCTAGTTTAGAGACATTTCTCTCAGATTTGGGATATCATTGGAAAGTATCGTGAACCTGTATACCAGATGTTATTCATTACCAACTATTTGGTTTTTGAACCAGGTAACCAGCATTAAGAATGACTAACTGTGGTACCCATAAACAGATTTTCACTTCACCTACAGCCAAGATGTATGTTCACGTTAATCAGCAATGGACAGGACATGTTAACTTTACTAATTTTAAAACTCTAACAAATCACATTTTTCTATACAATATTCGATATTTAATCAGAATCAATTACTTCCACATTGCTTAAAACATAACAATAGGGAAAAACGAATAAATTTCGCCAAAAATCCACTAATTTTTCGTCACCTATTAAATCTTATCCAAAATTTATGAAAGGATGTATAAAGAGGAAACCTGTCGATAACAGCCAAAACTTCAGCTTTTCTCCCTTACTATGTCCTCATTGATCAATGGTTCTTGTTTTCTCACATAGCCATATCTTGATATCAAAAAGCAATTATTTTAGTAGAAAATAAAAGCAAATGTAATTGAAGGAATATGATGTTTTATGGTTCACAATTTACGTATTAAGGAAAACAAGTTGTCCTATCTTATGTAAGGTGCCATGAAGATTTAACTGATTTGAACTTTTCCCTAGAGAAAGTATGTCTTGCGAAAATACTGACTACTAATAAAATTTGATCAGCAAGTATCCAGA